AAAGAAATGGTCTCACTGTATAGCCCAGACTGACCTTGAGCTAGTGGAACATCTCCTCTCTCTATCATTTATGTACCACTCATCCCACCCTGACGTGCCCACTTAAGGCCTGTCACTCAAGTGTTGCTGGAACAGAAACTTTCTATCTTTCTTGGGTTGTTCATATGATTTGGAGAGGAGACACGGTGCTTCAGTTCTCCCCTTCCCATCTAAGTGTGTGTTCAGAATCCTTTTGCAGATAATGTTTAGCAAATCTCTTTGTCTACAGCCCAGCCATCCCATTGCAATTGCTTCTCCTTTATTTTTCCTTTCTGGGTATAATCTAATTTGGGTACCTTCTCAAATGCTGTTTTGGACTCAAATTTCCATTCAGTGGCTCCCCAGAGCAACAGGCCCTGGCTAATGAAGAGCTAATGGGAACCAGAGAGAAGGGAAGCCGTCTTCTCACCCAGCCCACTCTGCTCCCCTTTTGCAGCTCTCTCTTCCCGTTTCGGCATTTCTTCAGGAAGAGCAGTCAATGAACCTCCCAGGCACAGCACACCACCGCAGCAGAAAAAGATCTTCAATGACTCGTCCCAAGCCATTCAGTCCTTTACTTTCTTTTCTTTATTTTTGAGACAAGCTGTATTGCTATGTGGCCCAGGCTGGTGTCAAGCTCTCCATCTTTCTACCTTAGTTAGGCTGTGATTACAAGTGTGCATCACCACACCATCCTTTTCTTATGACTCCTGGGGATAGGGGCACTAGGCTGAGTCCTTGTGTGTGTTTATTCTGCCCTTTTCCTTTGTTTATTTCCTGTTTAACATCCTAAAACCTGGGCTAGAGAGATGGCTCAGCAATTCAGAGTGTATAGTGCTCTTGCAGATAATCTAAGTTTGGGTCCCAGCACCCACAGCAAGCAGTCTACAAACATCTGTGACTCCAGCGCCATCTTCTGGATTCCACAGACACCTGCATACACATGCACATACCCACACACATACACACAGAAATAAAATATAAATCTTTTGTTGTTGTTTTGAAACAGGGTCTCCCTGTAGCCCCAGTTGGCCTTGAACTCCCTGTAGACCAGGCTGGCCTAGATCTCACAGAGATCCACCTGCCTCCACTTCCTCAGTGCAGGGATTAAAGGCCTACACCTTAAAAACAAACATTAAAAGGGCCAGTGAGATGGTTCATTGGGTGCCTCCTGCCAAACCTGACAACCTGAGTTCAAACTCTACACACTCACAAAATAATTGAAATGTAATTTTTTTAAATTCCAAAAAATTAAAAAATAAAACACTAAGAAAAGAATTCCACTGCCCTGAGGGCCAGTTGAGATTTTTGTCTCTAGTACTTAGAATCCTAATCCCAATAAATTACTTATGAAGTATATTGACTGAATTTGGGGAAGTTAGAGAGTATGCATGGAACTTCCTGGGTCACCTGGTTGCTGCTTAGCGCACCACATGGGATGTGTACCTGACCTCAGACCCTAAGCTTCTCTACCATGGGTCAAGGAATAAGGTCATACAAGGTTCATTCTGGTCCCAAAGAAACAATCTCTTCCTCAGTTTGGTTTGGTCCCAAAGGATAGCTTTTCATGTCTAAAATGCTCCCTAAGTATTTATCCCTCTGGTTCCTTGATAGAAATACAAACTAGTTTATCAGGTTAACTGGAAACCAGGAAATTGGGGCCCCTTGAGGAGCCAAGGCACCTGTCCTCAACCAAAGGCCACTGAGAGAGGGAGCTTGGACTTGTGTGGCCTCAGAGAACCAAAAGAATTAGTGGAAATTTAGGGAAACTCAGCTCAGAACAAAGGGCCTAGCTTTTTTAATTGTTATTAATTTTAGAATGGGCTACCTTGAGGTAATGAGCCCTTGCCACCTATAGGCTTTAAACAGCCAATTATCATCCATCACATGCCAGAAGGCTCCTAATGGGAAGGCTGGGGCTGGAGTGGTGAGGTCTCTGAGTCCCCTTGCTTGGCTGCTGCTTCCTTCAGCATGGAGAAGAGAGAAGGTAGGATGCTCTGGGAGGACCTGGCAAGTGAAGGCCTAAGCAGGCAGGCACTGAAGCCTAGGATGTGGGGACTGGAGCATCAGCAACACCGGCAATACCAATTTCTCCCAAATCGTGTTTACTATTATCTCACTATCCCAAGCATGGCCTGACTGACAGCTGCTGCTGAAGGGCACAGCTCCAAAGTCTGCCCATGCCAGATGGGATTAGCTAACCTAAAGGGCCCCTCAGCCCTTACTTTCTCATCTGGACAATGAGGGGTATGATTTGATGAGCTCTGAGGAGCCATCTAGCTCTGGTAGGCTGTAGACTGGCTCCACCCTTCTCAGCCAGGTCAGTGTGGCACTGGTCTGAGTAGGAGCTACCTATAGCCACCATAGGCTTTCCTTTTGGTCTGGGCCCTGCAGCTCTGCTTGCTTGTTTTTGTTTCATTGTTTTTGTTTCTGTTTATCTCACTGTGTAGCCTTGGCTGGCCTGGAATCTACCCACTATGTAGACCAGGCTGGCCTCCAACTCCCAACTACTGTTGACTAGGGTTTTTGCTATTGTTTTTTCATGGTGCTAAAAATGGAAGAAGCCAGGGCCTCAAGAAGGAACCCAGGGCCTTGAGGTGCTAGGCAAGGCAAATGCTGCACCACTACACCATATCCACAGCTCTCAACTTGTCACCGTCTCCTCCCAAGTTAATTTAATACCTTGGATAGGTAGGAAATTTGAGTGTGACTTCCCTTCTCTGAGTATTTGTAGCCCAGCCTGTAAAACCAGGGCTAGACTCGGCAATCACATTTGTTGAGGTTGATGGCTTCTGTCTAAGGGAGCAGGTCCTTGTTATTCAGGAACTAGGAAGACCCCTAACTCAGAGCTCCACTCTGTAGCTGACCACGTGTGAGAGGGCATCTACAGGACACTGGAAGGCTCTGAAATAGACTCAGGAACTCTACCCCTAGCCTGCCACTGAGCATAGCTCAGGAGCCTCCACTAGTGAGATACCCCTTGTCCAAAAGAATCTTTTTCTCAGGCTGGGAACATAACTCGGTAGAGTACCTTCCCAGCATGCACTAGTCTGGGTTCGATTGCCAGAACTGCATAAACCAAGTATGGTGGCTTACACCTGTGATCCCAGCTCTTGGGAGGTAGAGGCAGAGATCAGAAATTCAAGGTCATCTGGGATGTAACATATTGTCTTTTTTGTGTATGTTTTGTCTGCACGTATATAAATGTACCATGTTTGTGCCTGGTACCCAGAGACTCCAGAAGAAGGTGTCAGATCCCCTGGAGCTGAAGTTGCTAGGAACCAAACTCAGGTCCTCCACAAAGAGCATCATCAAGTGACTGGGCATGGTGGCACATGCCTTTAATCCCAGCACTCGGGAAGCAGAGGCAGGCAGATCTCTGTGAGTCTGAGACCAACCTGGTCTACATAGTGAGTTACAGCCGAGCTGGAGCTACAGGGAGACCTTGTCTCAAAAAACACACACACAAAAAAAAAAACACAAAAAACTTAAGAGCAGCAAGTGCTCTTAGCGGCTGAGAAAGAAAAGAAAACACTACAACAAACTTTCAGGGCTCAGAAGAAAAGCTCACACCTTTAATCTGAGCTCTCAGGAGGCAAAAGTAGGCAGGAGGTGATCTCTGACCTGGAGGCCATCCTGGTCTATATAGTGATTTCTAGACCAGCCAGAGCTACACAGTGAAACTGTCTTTTAAAAAATCCCTTTTCTTTGCCAATGGTAAGAGACAGAACTGTGTTTAGTAGCTTTAGAAGCTAGGTGGCCGTGATCAGGGAAGTGTCCTGCCCAAGGAGAGAACACACCTGAACACAACTCTGTCAGGAGTCTCCAGCTGCACGCATATCACACACTGGGCCACTCCTGGGCTTGTCTTCCTCTTATACTCTACCCCAGACAGCTTTTTGGAAGAGTGAGATGTCAGCAGGGACTGCTCTCTGAAGACCACATCTTAGACAGGGATCCCCAGGTGGGACTGCATTGAGGCTGCAGGCTGGGAGGGGCTTGAAAGCTGATCCCCAGGAAGGCGTGGCTGCAGAACACCAGCAAATAAAGGCCTGCACCAGTCTGGAGACCAGCAGAAGGCCCCAGAGCCTTCACAGCCTGCAAGCTGTCTGTTCCGGCTGGACTGGTGAGCTTGCTGAGGTAGGAGAGCAGGTGGAGCTGGGGAGGATGGGCTGGGGGCCCAGGCCTCTAAGGCCAACACAACACATGGAGGGAAGTAGTTTGTGCCCCACATAGAAGGGACATTCCCAGGGTGCCCAGAGAGCTGACACATAAGTCCCATTCAGAGATGGCTGGCTACTCACACCCTTCCAGAATAACCACAGTCAGGCAGACAGATGGACACACTCAGACACACCCTCAAAAGGAGACACTACTCAAGATTGCAGCACTACTCAAGCACATCACTCCTGCCGGAAGATCAACCAGCCTGGCCCCTCACGGAGAAGCACATGATTTTTAAAGAACACCTATTCCCACCTGTACACCCACTCTCCTTTCAGATGCCCATGGCACCCTCCCCAGCCCTGCTTCTCTGCCTGCTGGTCTTGGCCACTACTGAAGGCCATGGTTGGGAGACAGACGTCCTGGGCTGCCACCTGCACCATGAGTAACGTTCCAAAGGGCTGGGAGGAGTGGATTCAGGGCCAGAGCAGCGCTGGCCCACTGAACTGCAAACAGGAGGCACTGACAGCTGCAGCTGGGGCAGCCTTCACAGACTGCTTGCCTGTCTCCTTCAGCCTTCAACATGACAGTTTGAAGTGACTGCCAAGGCACCTGCCAGGGTTCCCATGTGGCACAAGCCTGTGTAGGACACTGAGTCCAGCGCCTTCCCTTCACGGTATTCTGTGCTGGTGGCCAGCAGTTATCAACATAGTATCACCTCTGTCTCCCAGTGCTGTACCATCAGCAGCCTAAAGAAGGTAAGGGGCCTGGGCCTGGCAGGCGTGCTACGGTGGGGAGCCAGAATGGATACAAATGTGGATCCCTTCTCCACCAGGTGATGGTGTGGCTGCGCTCTGTCGGGAACCGTCGTTGGGGGGAGCTTGAGCTCTTCACCGCCGCCGGGGCCTGCCAGTGTGGTATGTGTCGGCTCTCCCGTTACTAGTTCTGAAAGGCGTTCCAGCCCTCCGGCCCTGCGATAGGTTTGCTCCAGGGCCTCTTAAATAAGGGGGTTGCTCAGCTCTGACTCTAGATCTCTAGAGTCTGTGATGGTCACCCCAAAAGAGGGGGTTTTTCCCTCTCCCTAGATCTCTGCCTGGCCTTCTACACAGTCTCATCGCTACACTGTCTCCTCTCCTACCCTAAATAAAGTAAGCAGTGCTTGAGTTTCGCTCTTTATTGAGTCTGCCCCCTAGCCAGAGAAGAGGACAGACCGTGATTACTGTGACCCCCCTCACCCCAGGAGACTGTGAATCTTCTTGCCTGTGCCCTCACCCCTCCCCCCTGCCCAATAAATAAAAAGGGGACAAGGAAGTACAGGGCAAGGAAGAGGAGAGGAGGAGGATGTCCCAGGGCCTGGACAGTGTCTTGTTGAGGGTGAGCTGGACAGAATAAATTGACCGTGCCCCCATGGTGGGGGTGAGGAAGGCCCTGGCCAGGCTGAGGCAGGTCAGGTGCTGAGTGCCCTTGCCCCATGCCAGGAGCAGGGGTAGGAGCCCACCTTCAGCTGGAGCCAGGCTGTGCAGGGCAGCAGAGGAGGATCCCTGATGGCAGCTTCCCAGTCACATGGTCACCCTGGTCTGGTCTTGCCAGAATCTTGCCACAAGGCTTGAGCATTCTGTTGCCAAAACTACCATCTTGCCTTCTTGTCTCCCCCAGTGAAAGCTGCCCCCCATGGGGCTGGTGGGAGTCCTCAGAGCCACTCTGGCAAGGCCACGGGGAGGCGTGGGCCTCACTGGGCCCCTGGGCAGAAGGGATGTAAGGGCTGATGATAGCTCTGGATTTAGCTTCTCCCCTTTCAGGTCTGTCTAGCTCTGACCCCCGCTGGCAGCCACCTGAGGTGTAGGCCGTGGGAGCGGGCCGTCTTTGGCCCCCTGGGTCCCCTGTAGCCGGCGTAGCCTCAGCTCCTCCAACCCTTGCCAGAGCTCCTGACGCTCCTGGGCCTTCTGCTGCTCCCTGAGGAGAGAGGGTAAGGCAGCTTCTCCTCTCCTGACCCCCAACAGTCCAACCTCCCTCACTACCCCACTGCAAGGTGATTGGGACTCCATGGAAACCCTGGGCTTAAGGGAGAGCTGAGGGGAGACTGGAGAGGAAGAATTGGTGAGCTGTGAGCTGCCCTGGCTGAGGAGGATGGTACAGGGGGTCACAGCAGGTGGGGTGGTGTACTGAGAAGAATAGTTAGGGGATGCAGTGGGCAGTCATGTGTGCATAAGACAGCCACAGCTACTGAACTGACTGCATAGGGTGGGGTCATCTGTATTCCCTGCCTGAGGTTCTGGTTCCTGCTTTTCTTCCCTCCCCAGCTCCCAGCCCCAGCCCCAACCCCAGCCCTAAAACTCACTGCTGCTTCTCCAGCTTGTAGGAGGCTGTGAGCTCATCAAACAGCTTTCCGTTCATCTCCATGAAGGTTTTGAGCACATTGTAGATCAGGGATACGATAGTTCTTGACATGGTCAAGGCAAGGGGTGAGATGAAGGAAATACCATTCTGCGGTCCCTGAGCATTGCCCAGTTCCCTGCCCTTTCATCTCCCTTCACATACCCACATTTGCTCTGACCCTGTCCAGCCTGGAATGGCCCCAGGGCTGGATCAAAGCTTGGGCACTTACTGATTCCAGTGCTCCTTGGACACTTGGTAGAGGGTTCCAAACACAGCAGGTAGCACAGTGTGGCAGTTGTCCTCAATGAGGCTCAGGATATACTCATTGTTCCAGAAATACAGAGCCCGCTCTGCAACCTGGGGCAGGTGAGATGGTAGAGTGAACCTGGCAGAGGTTTCTGGTGTGCAAGGTCTGGTGTCCATCCCTACCCAAAAACCAGAACCCTCTGACCTCCACACCCCTCCGGAGGGCTTGTCTGACCTACTGGAGGAAACATGGGGAATAGAGCCCCGGCTTTACAGTCTAACACTCAGGCAATCCTGACTCTACCATGGCCTCCACTGCGCTCCTGCAGCCTTGGCCTCGCCACTACGCCCAGCAAGCTCCTGTAATTTAAGGTATCTAAAAAGTGACATACAAGCCGGGTGTGGTGGCACACACCTTTAATCCCAGGCAGAGATAGGTGAATCTCTGAGATTGAGGTCAGCCTGGCCTACATAGGAAGTTCCAGGTCAGCTATGGTTATAGGGAGACCTGTCTCAAAAAACCAAAAAGTGACACAGAAGAGCTACCACGAGGAAGACCCAACTTCCGCCAGGTCAGGCTCCTACAAATGGGGATGGATCTGCACACCTAGCCAGCATGGGGAAGTAAGCCTACCAGGTCATGAAGTGGAATGAATGAAATCTAAGGTTTCTGAGAAAAGCAGACCCTGCATCCTATTCTGGGTCAGTTTACCCAACACACTGAGAATCATGAGCTCTTGCTCTTCTCACTACCCTGTGGAGATGTGATTGGTGACCCATTTTACACTGCAAGAAATACAGTTAGAGTGGGGAAGTGATTTGCCAAAGGTCCCTCAGCCAGTAGAATCCAGATCTGAGGTTTGACCCTAGGTCTCCCAACCCTAGGCCCAGCATCTCCCCATGATCAGAACCAGGAATGGAAGAGAAACTGAGGGGAGAGGGGACTGTTAGGTCAACTGGGAAGACTTACCAGGCTATGACCCCGCCCCTGCTTCACCTATCCTTGCCCCATACCTGGAAATGGGGACTGGAAACACAGCGAGCCACCTGCTTGAAGAGGGGCTCCTGGATCTTCACAAATTGGGAGGGTTCGATGACATCAAGAATCTCTTCCATCTCCCCCAGGAACATCACCTGGGGAGGGGACAGGAACAGCAGCTCACATTCACCTAAAACACACTCTGCACACCCACCTTTGGGGAGCTTCGGAGCCCTTCATACCTCCTTCTGGGTGCAGGTTTTGGGCCAGTATTTAAGGAGCCCCCGAATAACCTGTGGGGTGGAGGAGGAAGGAGTCAGACCTGCAGAGTGAGGGGCCCACCTTCCCTCCGAGGTACTCACATGCTCTGTCAAGGTGGCATCCTTCTCCAGGAACTGCACCACACAGTATGCCAGCTGCAGAGCCGGGGTGAAGAGAAGGAAGCCAGGGTCAGGAAGGACAGGGGCCAAGGACTGGCTACCCAGGACAGCATACCAGGCATCTGCTCACTACCTTCACACTCTTGTTCCCTGAGACTTACTGCTACCTTGGACTTACAAGGCACTGTGCTCAGGGTGCTGGGAACACAAGGATGACCTCGCTGGGGAAGTAACAAACTAATCCTTACCAATTTTGCAGAAGGTGCCATAAAAGATTTCTGCATCACAATCTTTGGGACTAGAGAAAGAGGAAAGGAAAGGGGTTTCATTCTGTCTATGGTATAAAGATGGGAGGGAATGGAGAGGGTGGCACAGAACTGATGTCTGAGGTCAGAAGGAAAGATGCAGAGGTAAGACAGGATCTAGTGAGTGTCAGTCTAGCTTCCTGGTCCCACGGGCAGTCCTGAGTATCAAGAGTCCTTCCTGCTGCTGGGCCAGGCCTGGGGCTTACCTGAGCGTGAAAGACAGACAGTGACTTAACAGAGTGCAAGGGGATCAGAACTCGAACCAGGAACTGCTTGTGCTCAGTCTTCAGGGGCAGCGCAAAGCCATTGATGATGCTTTGGAGGGGGCAGAAGAGAGAAGCAAGGATCAGTCAGTCAGGCCCCCAAGCCCTCCTCCCAGAGCCCAAGCTCCAGTAGAAGCCCAAGGAGAATCACCTTCCTAAGATCTCCAGTAGCTCAGCCACACCATTGAAGTGCTCCAGCTCATAGATGAACCTGCAAGAGGAAAAGAATGTAGAGGTCTCAGAGCTGTGGGGCAGATCTGGCACTCCATCAGCCATCCTGCCAGCCACCCTGATTCACCATGCACAACCATCTAATTCTCCCCAACTTGAATTCCCTTCCCAGTGCCCTGCAAACCAGGCCCCACTATGTCCACACACTGCAAAATACCCTTCAGTGCCCAGCCACCTCCTCCACTCTTTGTTCCAACTCAACCTCTCTTCCATGAGACACCCCTGGCTCATTTCTTCCAGTGCCTAGTACTTGATTTAATACCAAGCTAGCCGGCAGGCACCCAGCCTATGACCTTCGCCCTTCATGCCGTCAACCAAAGAATGGCAAACACTTAAGAGTATCTACTGTGTACACTGTAATTCTCAGAATCCTCCTGGGAGGCAGGTCGCAATAAAGCCATTACAGAAGTTAGTCAGTGGTTAAAAGATACCCCAAAGTTAATAAGTGGGGAAGCTAATGGACTCAGCTCCTGGAGAACACGGGTCATGTCTTCCCTATTTCATCACTAGCAACAAGAGCTAATGCTTGAGAGGCCCCACCTGGGGCCAGGAGCTATACCAGGCCCTTTGGCGGCACTGCCTGGCTTGGTCTGAGCACAGGCAGCATCACCATTGCAAAGATGAAGCAAGGAGAAAACTTCAGTGCCTTGCCCAAGTCCACCCAAATACTGGCTGTCTACCTTCACAACCATGGTCTCAACTACAAGGTCATGTGGGCTCTCAATGCCCAGTGGGTATTATGCTCAATACACATTTGTAGGAAGAATTTCTCTTTGGGTCATTACAGGCCAGCCTAATAAGGATTAGAAGATCTAGATCCCAGGTTCTCCTGGGCTGCCCTAGTCCCTGTAAACTTTTTTTTTTTTTTTTTTTTTTTTTAAACAGGGTCTCTCTGTAGCCCCAGCTGGCCTGGAACTCCCTTTTTAGACCAGGGTGGCCCCTCAACCCCCTGTGCATTTGAGAAATACTACAAAAAATACTTTTTGTTGTTGTTGTTGTTTAGTTTTGTTTTTTTTGAGAGAGGGTCTCCCTGTAGCCACAGCTGGCCTGGAACTTGCTATAGAGACCAGGCTGGCCTCTATCTTAGAGATCTGCCTGCCTCTGCCTCCCAAGTGCTGGGATCAAAGGCGTGCACCACCACACCTGGCCTTGTAAACTATTTTATTGGCTTCTATTATAGTGCTCCCTCTTGGCCTCTGTTTTCTCATCTGTAAAATGGAAATGAATACTCATTCTCTGCTGACTTTACAGGCTTTGTATAATCAATATTACATTAGAGAGAAAGAACACAGCCCAGGAGCCTAGACCTCAGTCTTCTCCCCAGTAAGTCCCTCCCTCCCCTCCTGGCCTTGTAAACTATTTTATTGGCTTCTATTATAGTGCTCCCTCTTGGCCTCTGTTTTCTCATCTGTAAAATGGAAATGAATACTCATTCTCTGCTGACTTTACAGGCTTTGTATAATCAATATTACATTAGAGAGAAAGAACACAGCCCAGGAGCCTAGACCTCAGTCTTCTCCCCAGTAAGTCCCTCCCTCCCCTCCTTCCTCTCTCTCCTTTCCCTCCCCTCCTTTACTCTCTCCCAGGAGCCACTCACCGGAGAAAGATGTGGTTGCATTGTTTGCGGATGTAGGCCCGGAGACCCAGGAACTTGCCGTATACCCGATGCAAGATGGTCTTGAGGTATTCACGTTCTCGGGGGTCCTCACTATCAAACAGCTCCAGGAGCTGTAGGACCCAGGGTCAAGAGTAAGGCCAGATGCCACCCTGTTTTGTCCCATCCTAGCCTATGCCCCTCAGCCAACCTGCCCCTGGTCCTATGTACCACCCAGCCTGGGCTCCCCACGTCACCATCAGGACAAACTTTTGATCCACATATCTCTTGGCCACCGAGGGCTGGAAGTCTGGGCTCTCCAAGAAACGTAGGAAAAACTCATATACCAGCTGGGGGTGGGAGACAGATCAAAAGGTGAGTTCAGTCACAGCCTCATCCACTGGCCTGCAGCCCTCATCAACAGTCTAGGGGCTATACAGACTCCCCCACCCCTCAAATCTACTCTGAAGTGCAGACCCCTGCTTCCTCTAGTCCTTCACACCTGCAGATGTGGCCAGGAAGGCTCGAGGTTGGGCTCATCCTCTTCGGGGTCAAATTCGGGGTTCTCACTGGGTGGCAGAGTCCGGAAGATATTCACTGATATCTAGAGGGCCAAGTGATGGTTCTTTAAGGATGGGACCTTGGCGGCAGAAGCCAGAGGAACTCTCATCCAAAGTTCTCTACAGCCCAGGCAGGCAACAAACTTGTGACCCTCCTGCCTCAGCCTCCTGGGTAGCTAGGATTACAGGCATGCACCATCAGGTCCAGAACTTCTAAATTCTTTGTTACAGGGAAAACGAACTTGTGATCTTCCATTAAGTTACATCACCTGCCTTTCCCTTGTCCAGTTCTAATGGACTCACAGCGCAATTCATTCAGTCCTTCACAAGCAATTCATTCCACTGGGTAATCATCACTCAACCAAACACCTAGTTTATGCAAGCCCTAAACCAGGGGCTGGGGACCCAGAGGTGGCCTGGACACATCCCTCAGCAGATGTGATTCAGTGGGGGTGGTAAGAACAAAGGCAGTGAGGGCCACAGGTATTCTGGGCAAAAAAGTTTCTGGCCTGGACAGTGAGAGAGGCTTCAGACAGGAGTCAGCACCTGAGTCAGGCCATAGAAGGTAAGTAGGTCTAGGAAAGGATAGCCTAAGCCCAGTTTACAGGTGCAGAGACCACAGGGAGAGGAAGTCCTGAGTGGGTGACGGGCAGCAATGGAGCTCAGTAGAGATGGAACACATAACCCTTGAGGCCAAGCTGAAGAGTCTAGGCTTTATTCTTCCCCTAGGGGGTCCTGGAGGCAGATTGGTAAGGTTTTATGTCCCCTAAGCTCTCCCTGAGGCTGAGACTGAGTACAGTGCTTACCATACGGATGATGTCTGGGTAGACAGGCTCGATGAGGACACCCCGGGTGCTCCCCACACATTCCACCAGCTCATTGAGGGCCGCCCGCTTCACCTCCTTCCCCTTTAGGTCGGCCACACAGTCCAAGAAGTCAAACATCACCCCACATTGGGCAAGCTTCCGGCTCAGCAACTCATGCAGCTCAGAGGCTGGCACATCTGGGGGGAGGGACAAGGGGACTGAACCTGGACCACAACTGCCAGGGCTCTGGACAGAGGTGAACCTCCTCATCCTTCTTCAGACTGGCTTTCCTGCTATCTTGAGCTGCCCTCACACAAGGTACCGTGATGTAGCCAGCAAACAACCCTGGCCCCATCCTCCTGGCCCCATCCTCCACTCCTGGGAGGTAGTACGTTGGGGGATTCCTCTCTCTCTTAATCCAGGCTCAGAGACCTCTTGATTTTAAAGCAAGATAACACTGAATGTGGATGTGCAGGCATTCCCCAAAACAGTCACTGCCTCCCTTTCCTAGGTGGCACACAGATCTATGAGCCAGAATTGGAAAGAGGGGCAGGAGTGAGGGAGGGGGGGATGTGATGATCACAGGGAGTCATGCGAAGCGCCTACCCCAGGAGCCAGGCAACTGGCTGAGCTGATAGTGGCCTTCTGGAATCCAGGCTGTGGGCCCCACCCTTGGTCCTGGCCTACCCCTGGCGCCACCTCCAGATGCCCCACCTCCAGAGATGACAGGCCAGTCAGGCCATACATCAGCAGAGGCCTTGGAGGCTGGGGTCCCGGTTCAATGGAGTTCCTAACCTAGAAGGGTGCCCACACTGCCTGACAGGAGCAGCCAGCCACTTTTCCCTCCTTTCTCTCCCACCTTGCTGTTTCCCTCTAGGCTCCTCAGCAGCAAGCAGCAGCTCACCTTTGAGCAGAGGCAGTGGCGTGAGCTCTTGCTGGTTGCTCTGATAGCGGAACTGGGAAGAGCTGTGTGAGCGCCGAGGTCGTGCCCTGCGGAGGGAACGGCGGGAGAAGCCATCCACTTTGTCGGGTGGTGGCACTGGCGACAGTCCTGGGGAGGAGGGGCTAGTGGGGGTGCTTGCAGGGGGCAGCTTTGTCTCCATGGCCAGTGGACAGCAGGTCAAGCTTTCAGAGCCTCAGGGGCTCCCTGTGGGTTTGGAGGAAGCTGGGCGAGACCGCACTCACTAACTAGGACCCATCATGACCAGTGGGGGGGGGCGCACAACTACAGTCCTGGCCCCCCCCCAGGGCCTCCGGCAACTGCCCAGTCCTGGGGGGCAGGCAAAGTAGACGAGTGATGGCCCAGGCCTTAAGTCTTTCCTGGGGGTCCACAAGAGTCCGGTCAGGGATCCCACGCTGGCTCTTCTGAGAAGTCCGGGCAGAAAGGTCAACAAGAGAAACAGAGAGCAGGTCAGTTCTTTCCAGAGGCAGCCTGGGTGCTGCGGCTGGGTGCCCTCACTTCTTTTCCCTCCTACCTTTACTAGACCCCAAAACAGGGGTGCAAGCAATGGCCCTCCCTTCTCCCAGACCCCAAAGGCCCCAACCTCTAAAATAACCCCTACCCAAATAGGGCCTATGGCCCAAGCCGGCCCCTAGTCAGGATGGGGGCCCTGTTTAGCATCCCTCGCTCCTTAGAGCAATGAGGCCCTCCTGTTCCAGCAGTGCCGGCCTCTGCAATCACCAAGAATAGGGGTCAAGTTCGTATGCACCCTCTTTGCAAGCCCTAGCACCTTCCTTCTACCCTGCTCCATCCTGGACGCCAACCCTCATGGGGTGGGGGGGTTTACTCACTTCTCAGAAACAAGACTTTGGTCGCGGACCCCTAGAGGCTGCCTGAGAGGAGGAGGATTGGTTCAGGGCTCATCCGCAGCGGTTCCGCCGCTCGGGGCGCTGGGGCTGGGCGGCGGCGCTCCTGGGTTCTCTCCCGAGCTTCGGGGGAGCTGGAGCATACCCCCAGCTGAGCCCCAGGAGGGGCCAGGCGCTCGGCGGCCTCTGGGCTGGCCCCAGCCGTGCGCAGTCCCCGGCGGACTTCCCGGGACTCCGATCAGCGCGGTGCAGCACAGCGGCAGCCCCGGCTCGGTGCGCACGGGTACCCGCCGCCCAGCTGCTCAGGATGACATCAAGTCACCTCCCCCCGCCCGGCCCGCACCTCCCCGCCGCTGGTGGGGGGAGGGCTGCGTCAGGGAGGCCTCGGGACCGCTGGGAAATGTAGTCTCCTCCCTACTTAAAGGGAGCCACTCGACCTTAACGGTAACCGCCCCATCCCCACCCCCACCCTCGAGGGCCGACTCCGCACTCGAGGGCCAAAACTGAGGCTTTTGCAATCTGCAGCAGAGCAGGACGGACTCCAGCTGGGGGCTAGGCTCATGGACACTGCGTGGAGGAGGAGGACGCCGGGGTCTGCTCCAGGTGATGCCAGGGTACTGGCAGAACAGAGGCCTGGTATGATGTGCCAGCCCCATACATTTGGTTATGCCTCAGGCCATCCCCATAGGAACCCCCATTCCCAGCCACGAATGACCGGACACTTCCGAAAACCCCTGGAAAACCGGCGTTGGAATGGTTAATAGTCTATGATGTGTTAGAGCCTGCTGGGAGAGGTGCGGCCCACCAGAGGCTGCTGGGAAATGTAGTCCATCCTCAGGGCCTGCAGTCCCCCTCCCATCCTTTGCTGTGTATGGTGACATCATGGTCTGTAGTTTAAAGGGCTAGTCCTAGAGTGGCAAAGCATAAGTGCAGAAAGGTTCTCCCCTCAAGCTGCCTCCGCCCCTCAAGCCGCCGGACCTCCCACCCCCTCTGGTCTCACGATTTGCACCTGGGAGCGGGGAGCTTTTTATCAAAACCCTGTTGCCGGGTATCCAAGGCGCAACTGGATTCCAGAAGTTTGGCATTCTGACCAAAAGTTCCCAGCCTGCAGTCCTGGGCCCTCCTTCCTGGAACCCTGGGCTCCAATACTATTTCTTCCCTAGAATACCGTGAAAAATCTTCACCCTGACGTTTTGCCTGGGTAAATAACTGATCCATGCAGATGAACAGGAGATGGCAATGAGCCTGGACAGCTAGGTCAGGGAGGGGGCCGGGGTACTTCTCAGAATCCATCCACGCAGCTTTGGCACTGGTAATCACTTCGTGCTACAGAAGAAGTCTGTGGCCCAAGACGGCCCCACCTGCCAGAGCAGAGGCCTGTATGCAGAACACAGCTGGGCTGGGATCCAGGACTGTATCACAAGGGAAGTGATACAGCACAAGGCCAGTGCTTCCATTGCTCAGAAATAGTAGGCCTTGGAGTGGGGAGAGGGCTCATCAGCTAAAGAGCACCGGCTGCTCTTGCAGAGGACCCAAGTTTTATTATTTTATGTGTATGAGTGTATTGCCTGAATGTAGGTAGGTGCACCCTCATTGTGCAGTGCCCACAGAAGTCAGAAGAGGCCATTGGATTCCCTGGAACTGGAATGACAGATGGTTGTTAGCTACCATGTGGATGCTAGGAATCAAACCCAGGTCCTCTGCAAGAGCAGTCAGTGCTCTAAATCACTGAGCCATCTCTCCAGTCCCCAAAATAACTAAAATATTTAAAAAAAAAAAAAAAGGCCAGGGGGGGGGGCGCATCCCTTTAGCCCCAGAACTCGGGAGGCAGAGGCAGGGGGATCCCTGTGAGGTTAAAGCCAGCCTGGGCTACATAGTGAGGTCCCGGACAGCAGGGGCTACAGGAAGACCCTGTCTCAAAAAGACAAAAAAAAAAAAAATTTAAAAAAAAAAAAAAAGGCCAGGGGGGGGGGCGCATCCCTTTAGCCCCAGAACTCGGGAGGCAGAGGCAGGGGGATCCCTGTGAGGTTAAAGCCAGCCTGGGCTACATAGTGAGGTCCCGGACAGCAGGGGCTACAGGAAGACCCTGTCTCAAAAAGACAAAAAAAAAAAAAAATAGGCCTTGGCTACCTAAGCTCTTGGTCTTCATCTGCTGAATGGAACCCTCCTACAGCAAATGGTTCCTTCACTCCCTCCACTGCCACACTCCTTATGATCCCCAAAGGCCGGGGTGCAGCAATATCTCCTACCTGACCTACCTCCAAGCCTCAGGAGGTGAAGCCTTTTTCATGTGCCTGAATAACAAGTTGGGGAGGACAGACCCACAGAGCCTCCTATGGCAAGGCCAGGATCCTGTGGCCCAGACTGGAGGACTACCTTGGCCAAGGTGGCACAACCTGTCATCTAAAGCATGACCAAGGAGCAGCTGGTTCCAGCCCCACTCCACAGACCCTCTGTACTGTGATCTTCAGGCCCAACTGACCATGGCAGACTAACTATGAGAAGGCAGGAGTCTTATACCAAACAGGAACATTCTAGAAGTGGAGGAGAGACAAGAGTTCTGGGGTTTGCTATGTGTTTATGATGCTGGGGATAGAACATGGGGCCTCACACAAGCTACATACCACAGAACTACATACCTCACGCCAGAAGTGGGATTTGAACAGAATTTCAAACAGGCCCTGGGACATAAAAGATTGAAAAGTCTTCTTTTTTTAACATAATTATTGAGATATCGTGGGCATACTTTAAAATTTGCCTGTATTTGAATTGTTTAATAGACATATCATTTGGGGGTTTTAAAATTTATTAGTATTAAATGTTTTCACTTCATATGTCTAAGAGGTTTTTAATTTAATTTAATTTTTTTTTTTTTTTTGGTCTTTTTGAGACAGGGTCTCCCTGTAGCCCCAGCTGTCCTGGAGCTCACTATATAGACCCGGCTGGCCTTGAACTCACAGAGATCCGCCTGTCTCTGCCTCCCAAGTGCTCCCAAGTGCTGGGATTAAAGGCGTGCGCCACCACACTCGGTGAGGTTTTTAATTTTTAATTTATTTATATTTATTTTATGTGTATGAGTGTTTTGTCTGTACATACGTCAGTGCGCCCATGTCATGCAATGCCCGCAGAGGCCAGAAGAGGACGCCAGATCCCTTGGAACTAGAGTTATGAATGATTATTAGCTGCCAAGTTGGTGCTGAGAACTGAACCCAAGTCCTCTGCAAGAGCAGCAAGTGCTCTTAACTGTTGAGGCATCTCTCCAGAAAAAGGCCTGGGGATTAATGGTACAATAACATAAATATACTTAAAATGAGTAAACTGTGCACAGAATACATTAGGATGGTAAAAGCCAGACATGGTGGCACACACTTGTAATCTCAACATTGAGGAGGCAGACATAGAACCTTCATGAATTTGAAGCCAACCTGGGCTACATAGTGAGTCTTTGCCTCAAAAAAACATAGACAGCGGCTGCAGAGATCGCAACTATTCCAGAGGACCTGAGTTCCATTCCCAGCACCCACATCTGGCAGCTCACCTGTAACTCACCTGTAACCACCTGTAACTCCAGCTGCAGGGGATTCGATGCCCTGCTCTCTTCTTCTGGCCTCTTCAGGTGGTACCCACACACATCATACACTCATAGACACATACACGTGTAAATAAAAATAGTATATTTTTAATATATTTTTTTAATTTATTATTTTTTATTTTAATTTTATGTGTATGAGTGTATTGCCTGCATGTATGTGAGTGCACCCGGGTCGTGCAATGCTGCGGAGGTCAGAAGAGGGCCTTGGATTCCCCTGGAATGAGTTAAGGACGGTCCGTAGCCGCCATGTGGGTGCTGGGAATCGAACCTGGGTCCTCTGCAAGAGCAGTCTGTGCTCTTAACCGCTGAGCCATCTCTCCAGCCCCTTAATTTATTATTTTTATTTTAGGTGTGTGGTGTATTGCCTGCATGTATGTAAGTGTGCCCAGCTTGTGCAAGCCTGCAGAGGTCAGAAAATGGCATTGGATCCCCTGGAACTGGAGTTACAAATGGTTGTTAGCTGCCAGATGTGGGTGCTGGGATTCAAACCTGGGTCCTCTGGAAGAACAGCCTGCCTCTGCCTCCCAAGTGCTGGGATTAAAGGCATGTGCAAAACATGGATTGACACTAAAGCTCAGAGTTGAAAATACAGTGGTAGAATGCATGTCTAGAATGTTAGAGGCACAGGGTCCCATCCCTAGCACTGTGAAAAACAATGGTAAAATGTATTGTGTTGACAGACTGCACTAATATTGTGATGCATGCTAGACAGAAATATATTCAAAACAAAGTCCAAAATGGAAAGAAAAAAATCATACATTTTAGAGCCGGGCTTGGTGGCGGATGCCTTTAATCCCAGCACTTGGGAGGCAGAGACAGGCGGATCTGAGTTCAAGGCCAGCCTGGTCTACATAGTGAGCTCCAGGACAGCTGGGGCTACAGGGAGACCCTGTCTCAAAAAGACCAAAAAAAAATACATTTTTATTTGTATATCTGCCATTTAAATTTATTTTTTAATATTTTATTTTTTATTTTTATTTATTTATTATTTTTATTTTATGTGTATGAGCGTATTGCCTGCGTATATGTGAGTGCACCCGTGTTGTGCAGTACTGTGGAGGTCAGAAGAGGGCTTCAGATTCCCATGGAACTGGAGTTAAGGATGGTTTGTAGCTGCCACGTGGGTGCTGGGAATTGAACCTGGGTCCTCTGCAAGAGCAGTCAGTGCTCTTAACCGCTGAGCCATCTCTCCCGCCCCTATTATTTTTATTTTATGTGTATGCGTGTATTGCCTGCATGTAGATAAGTGCACCCATGTCCTGCAATGCTCTCGGAGGACAGAAGAGGCTGTCATATCCCCTGGAACTGGAGTTATGGACAGTTGTTAGCTGCCATGTGGGTGCTGGGATTCGAACCCGGGTCTTCTGCAAGAACAGTCAGTCTTCTTAACTGCTGAGCCATCTCTCCAGCCCCAAAATTTATTTATTTATTTTTATTTGATGTATATACATGATTTGCCTGAATTTAAGCGCACCAGTGCATGCAATGCCTGCAGAGACCAGAAGAGGGCATCTGATTCCTCTGGAACTGGAGTTATTGGCAGCTATTAGCTGCCATGTAGGTGCTGGGTACTGAACCCAAGTACCCTAGAAGATCAGTAACCACTGAGCCATCTCTCTAGTTCCTATATCTGCGATTATTTACCCTAAAAGGAATTTTTTTCAAATGTATACAGATGCCATTGGGCTCCCAATGCCCCAGAACTGCCCTCTGTGGAGCTCCTTAGGTCTGGATA